TTTAATACTTCTGCAGTTATGGACATAATTACATGTTGTTACAAAACTTACATTACATTTTGTCAACATTGTGTGTGTGTGTGTACATATATATATATATATATATATATATATATATATATATATATATATATATATATCAAATAAATAGTCATCTAAATTACGCAAAAAAATGAAATAACACTGACAACTCATTTTAACTGATATATTTACCAAAATTATACAAAAATATCTTGAAATTAGTAAAGAGTAAATTTATTCAATAAAATCACCATTGGCTTCAACCACGTTCTCCAGACGACTTCGGAATCTCCTGGAACTCTTCTGGGTGGTATCCTTGTTTAAGTTGGTGAATGCTGCCATAATCCTTGCCTTCAGTTCATCTTTGGTTTTCACAAGGAGTTTTGTTGATCTCTCACTCACATGCACCCCATACATAATAACCAAGGCGGTAACAGTCTGGCGAGTTAGGTAACTAGATGTAAGGGGTGATGTGATAGCAGAAATTGTCTGACAGCTATGAATGGGTTCATCTGTTTGTGTGACATGGTGCAGATTCCTGTATTCCAGCAGCCACCCTTTTGACCCAGGGCAGCACTACCTCCTCAAGGCACTTGATGTAGACCTTTGTGTCAAGTCTGAGGCCCTAACCAACAAATTCAGGAGTTCTTTCATTATCAGAACAATCAGTGTGAGTTTTCTGAGCTGCAGTACCATCATAATCACCATTAGATTTATCCAACTCTTTCCAAATCCTCTGTGCTCTCCTCAGATTGGCACCAAAACACTCTGAAATTTTTATTTTGGTGCTTCCGACATGAATGCCAAGAAGTACAGAATGCTGTTTCCAAATTTCTGGTGAAGTAAATTGCATCATTTTTCTCAGATGGTATCCAACTGACCCTACTATACATGCACAAAATTAAAAATATATAATGGCGACAATGTATGTGTGTGTGTGTGTGTGTGTGTGTGTGTGTGTAAAAAAAAAAGACAAATGAAAAACTTAGCTAATGTGTTTCATCCTCTGATGGACTATCATGGCAACTGTGACATTTTATTTTACAAAAAAGTATTTATAAACAAAAGTAAAAATGTTAATTTTTCAAAATTGTTAAATATAAGAGAGGCTCATAAATATTAATTGTGCAAGTAAAGTTAAACAACATTACTTACTCCCTTTCATTTATTAAACATTAAATTTTGTCACTTAACATCCTCCATAATTTACATTGACTTTTCAATTAACCTGATGAATATATATACTAGTTTAAAAACCACCCTATCGGGTGGCATCTAAGCTAGCTCTTGCAGTGGATTCTTCATTGAGCCTTCATCACAATAGGTAGGAAGGAGTAGATGTGATAGGCAACAATAAACTACAGAATAACTCAAAATTGATTGCTGCATTTAAGTAGTGCATTAATATTTAAGCTTACCTTTTAAAAAGTTCAATAATAATTCTTCTGTCGCCACTTAATTTAAAGACAGTTTGATATACATAGATCCTTACTTTCTATACAAACAATTATTTTTATTTCATGAGTGACTTTAATTTTGATTATTTCCGAGTTATAAAAATTGTTATGGTAAAAAAAAATTTGTTGCAAAAAATCACTATAAAAAAATTGCCAAAAACAATAGCAGTAATGAAAACTTGGGAATCAAGAATTTCAGGATTGCAGGTACAGATCCGACCCAGAATGGTTTTTAATTTGCTCAAGGAGTCAGTCTGATTCTAAAATCAGATGATATGTTGGGCTATGGCCTCTAGGAGTAAAGTTGAAAAAGTGTGACACAATGACACACTGACATTTATTTATATAGATATGAAAAGAAAGAAAAGGAATAAAGAGAGAAGATAAGGAGACAAGAAAATTATGAACAGAAGAAATAACCAAAATATCCTACACATATGCACATGTACAGGTATGCGTGTGCATGCACATGCAAAAAAAAAAAAAAAAATCAACATAACACCAATAAAAAAGCATATAAATTATTTCTTTGAACTTAATATAATAATAATGAAAATGAGAAAATTAACATACATTTACTGATACCTCCTGGTGAGTGAACCAAACAATTACAAAAATGTTCACTTATAAAACTATATATAGTCATCCACAGGCAGCCTGTTTCACTGTATCACAGCTCATCAGTGTGGCTAGACATTTGATTGCTTCAAATTGGGATTGAAACTTGACCAATTTGACATGAAAGACTCTTAGGCTATTGGCACACGGCAGAGAAAAAAGAAAATTTTTTTAATGCATTATATACATATATATATATATATATATATATATATATATATATATATATATATATATATATATATGTATGTATGTATGTATATTAAAAGGATTATTTTATCCAACTTTATTTCTTATTACTATAAACATTATTTTTAGTGAGTACACGTGTTTGAGTTGCTATACCTGTTTTTTATTTTATATTTTATTAAACAGTAAAATTAATAACAATGGGCCTAAATTGAGAAATGCTACAAAAATAGAAAGTGTACCTAAAACAATTGTTTACAAGAATAATTTTATATTTACAACAGTCTAAAAACTAATACAATTAAAACTAATGCAATATTTATCATTTTTCAATTTATAAAGAAATAAATATGAAAACAATTTTTTATTCATAAACTTATAAACATTTACTAAATTATTGAAATATGCGAACTAACTATAAGGAAATCCTTATTGTTTACCATTTTATAAAAGTTTGAATCAATTGACAATTAGCTGACATTTTGCCAACCATTCCAATAAATAGTGTAAATAAACAATTAAATAAATTGTTTATTATTATCTTTTCTGTCATTTCTCATGAACAAAGAAAATATATAAACTCTTTCATATGTTAAGGTTTTATTGCAATTCTATCATCACTTTTCAACCTTTATCACTCTGTATATGACTTCATTTGCTGCACAAAAAATTTATCCTGTCATTGAAGGCGATTCTGATTCCTGAACATAAGTGCATTTGAATTTCATAGCTGTGTTGTCATATCCTGCTATGGCAACAGAAAACAACTTTGAATGAAATTAACAATAAGGTTACTGCAATGTGACGTAAATTAATGTCTAATAAATAAAAGTGAATAAATGATTTTGAATTTTTTTTATAATGTAATTAATATTTATATTATTTTAGTTCTCGTGTATTACATATTTTAAATAACATGAGGTTATGAATGTAACAATTTTGTTTTAATTTTTTTACATTTTTATAATCACATATGTTGACTTGGGAAAGGAGTAATTCTTTCAGGAATGAAGATATTTGAAAAAATCCAGGGTGCAGATTTATATTTAGATAAGATTTGTTAGCGACACTCTTGAGAATTTACCATGGCATTCTTTAGATTAAAGTTGTGATTGAATTTATATCTATTTATGACTAATAGTTTTGATAAATTGTTGCATATAAGATTCTTTTTCTGTTCATACGTACGTTTTTTTTTTAATTCCTACAACTTTCACTTAATCTGATAAATATTTGAGTATTTCTTAATTTAAAAATTCTGAAAAACTATCAACATTTTTACTTTTGTTTATAAATACTTGTTGCAAAATAAAATCCATATATTTGCCTTGATAAAGTCCATCACAGGATGAAATGTGTCATCTAAGATAAGTTTTCTTTTTGTGTTTATTCATATTGTCTTTTTACAAATATATTTTTTAGTTATATCAAATTTTGCACACACATATGCATATATGTTAATTTACACACACATATATACATACGTATATATATAAAAACACATACACACACATATATATATATAAACACACACACATAAACACACACACACATATATATACATAAACACACACACACATATATATACATAAACACATATACACATATACACACACATATACACACACACACATACATATACACACACATACATATACACACATACATATATATACACACACACACATTAAAAATGACAGACACTTTGTGTTGATTAATTTTAATGATCAACTTTTCCAAGTTACGGAAAATTCTTCTGTCAGTTCATTTTGAAAGAAAAGTACAGGAAATATGGTAGAAGCTTTCAACTTTCTTAAGTCAGCATGAGAATAAATTGAGACAATTGGTAAGGAATAAAATTTTGAAATGATGTAAAATACTATTTTTTAAGCCTTATCTGAGAAAGAAATTATTGGAAAAATCAGTCATTAAGATTAATTAAAGCAAAATATCTGTCGTTTTTAATAGTATTTGCCTTAAAGAACATTTGCTGCCTAAATACCCATAATATATATTTATTGCTTCAAATGTTATTATATTGGGCACTTGTATCTGAAATAGATGCGCCATTCTTATTTATTAAACAGTGTGTGCCTATGGTCTGTGCATTCCAGAAATTTTAGTAAAGAAAAATGCACAGGCCTTTAGCAATACACACTGTTTAAGAAATAAAAATGGGGTGACTATTTTAAATACTAAGTGTCCAGTGTAATAACATTTAAAGTAATAAAAATGTCAGATTAAATAAATTATATATATATATATATATATATATATATATATATATATTATATATTCTTTGAAAATAATAATAATGCTTGTATAGTTCAATTAGCTTTGATTGTACATTTTAGCCCCCAACAGTCCTTTGCTTATAAATATCTTAAAGTAAACTTTTATGTAATGAAATATGATGCTTTAAAGAAAACACTGAGATCCTTTTGAGGTTGAATCTGTTTCTTACAGAGTTCTTTTAGATAAAGTGCATCAATCACCATACAAAGATTGCCAGCTTAATTTTTCAATCTTTAATTATCAATTCTTGTAAGTATTTAATTATATTCCAGAAAGATTCAGAAAAGCCATTAAAAGTATTTGTTTGAATCATGCATTTCCATGCATACATCACAGTAGTTACACATATTGTGAAATTGTAGCATTTTTATTAGAAAAGGTGGATTTTTTAGGAAGGAAAACTTAAAAAAAAAAACTTACCTTAGCGTGACTACTTCCCAAAACAGTGACATTTTTGTCATACACATATGCTCGTATCACAGTTGTTCCAATATCCAATGCAAGGACATAGCTTCTTTTATTAACTTGATTGAATTCGATATGACAATCACTGACATCCACACCTCCCTCCTCAGTTGAATCCATATCTGAATGAAAGAGGTAAAAAAAAAAAAAAAGAGTTGTTAAAAAATATAGAAAAATTTTTGCCTTTTCACACAGAAACAAATAATAATCAGTTTTCTTAGCTACCTTCTGAAAAAACAAATCAGTTAATGCCCCCATCTCATGAGGTCCACTGGCTTAATAAAATCATGGAGGTGAATCAGAACTTTTTGAGTCACACATTATTAATGTTTTCAATAATATGACAAATAACTTATAACCATCAACCTTAAAGTCTTAAGGTGTTGCAAACAGATTGAGTAAATCCTTTGAAAGTTGTCATCATGTATAATTTTATACTGAGAAATTGATACAATATACAAGGCTGGATTTTGGCCTTTTGAGGCCACTAATGCCCCCTGCCCTGATCAGTCACTTTCTAATTTGTCAACCTTGTCTTGAATATTTTAATGACATTTAAAATATAGCCTGAAGTAAACTTACTGCAAATTCTTTAAATAAACTTTAAAATAGCCATCTTTTGTTTGTCAATAAAAAATATTCTTTAAGACATACCACTATTTTACTATTTATTGCAAACCAAATTAGGTATAGATTTTAACACAACTATAGTAAAAAAAAAAAACACCCAAAAAATCCCAGATTTTTTATACCCAGAATTATAACTATCTTTGAGGGGCCTTAGGCAGCAACCTATACGAGGCCTATTGTATAATCTGGCCCAGACAATATGAACTTATCAAATATGATGAGACTCATAAATAGACTTTGAAGGAAAGGAATTTAAGTAGTTCTGAACATCAAACAATATAGTCTGTCCAACAAAATCATCTCAAAAAATAATGAAATTATACTAAATCACAAAGTTATATATTTTAACTATGTCTAGGTGAATATAACATAAATTTTTATATGCCAGGACAACATTAGTAAAATTAATGAGAAAGTGGAAAAATAGATTTTAAATTTCAAAGTTTAAAATTGCAGTGCACATATATAATTAATGGAAATATCACTTTAATCCAATTAAGTCCTAAAGGGTGAAATATGTCACACAAAACATATTTTTTCAACTGTCATTAACTTTCCTAACATTTTAATTATACAAATTATAAAAAATTTTTCTTTAATAAGAATTCTCAAATATTCAGGCTGGTAGATGATAATAAATAAATATACAATTCAATAAATAAACAGAGTGTCTACTCAAATATGGGTATCCACTAAAAAATAATGTTTAAAGATTAATAAATAAAAAGTCCATAACTTTTTAAAAATAATATATATATATATATATATATATATATATATATATATATATATATATATATATATTAGAGCTGATCCTTCATAGAAAATATTTTTCTTATTTTTAATCAAATATTTTATTCAGAAATGGAATGAAAAGAAAACAAAGTTATATTATGGGATGTACAGTGTTTCCATAAGAGAGACTGTTAAAGTGCAATTGTCTGGAGCAGTAAATAGAATGCTAAATAATTGCACATGTGTGCATGCAATTCTGGAAGAATGTTAAAAACAAAAGATGCATAAATTCATTTTTTTTTTTTTTTTTTTTTACCTGACCATATATGACCGGCTCTTGAGCGGTTGGCTCATTTCAACATCAAAAAAAGCTGAGCGTGTATGTTATTTCCAATTATGCAATACCGTAGACAAACCCTGAGAGAGAAGAGAATAGGATGAGAGTTGAAGACAGCTGTATACAAGCTTCATCACTGACAGACGTATGGATGGACAGACAGAGAGGCTAAAATTCTTCATATCTAGTGAAGAGACAGACAGGCAGCAGTCCCTCCCTGACCTGCCAGCAGGCATAAACAAAGACAAACACACCAAAAGGAGCCCAGAGCCTTTTGTCATGACCCCCCCACACACACACCTCGGCACTGAACAGCAACTGTTATTTATTCCTCCTGGGGGGAGGGGGCTAACTAACATGTCTGGTGGCTGGAACCTTGGCACCATGGATAATGTTACAATAAAGCAACAATAATTATAAAAACAACTAAGAGGAGAATCTTCTATAAGCCCCCCCTCCCCCTGATGCATTTCGGAAGGGGGGTATAATTCAGTGATGGAGCAAGGGACTGAAGCTAAATTCCATCTTATATTAGTAACAAGTATACTTCCCTGGCTCAGCCAGGTCAAGCGGGTGTGTCAAATGAATATTAAGTTCCAATTCAAAGAGGAGGTCTCACACCTGAAGCATCCCCAAAAGGATTTTTATGGGGAAATGCAGAGGAGACTTAAGCAATTTCTGAATGGATCTTGTGCCACATTCATCCGTGAATGTGGGCACAGAGATTTAAAAAAAACAACAAAAAAAAAACGGTGGTAACAAGTACAACCTGCCAAATTATTCAAAGCAGCTCTGCCAAACTTTGGTTAATTCAAAACTGTCTGCCTCTTTTGTTTCATGACTGACTAGGCAGAAGATTTTCCCACAGTGGGCTGCCATTTCTTTCTGCAGTAAACTGGTTTCCGACCAAGACTATAGCTGGAGGGGAAAAAGATGGATTCATGCTTTTCCCAAGGGATATTTTCACATAAGTGAATATAACAAACTCAACTGGAATTCAAACTTGGTTCTCTCTGATTTCCCATTCCAAGCTGTTATCGATCACACCACACTGCAAATCCAAAAGCCCATAAGAAAATTTTAAAATATTTGTTTAAAATAGTATACCATATATATTTATATATAAGCCTGCTTCATGAATTTCTTTGGGAAAAATATGATTTTTCCATATAGCTTGCGTATAATGCAACCCCAGCTTCTGAGCCATACTAGTAGGCCTACCGTAGTTAAATATTGCAGTACTAGGCATAATCCTGGACATATTTTATAGCAAATAAATGATCTTCATTCTTTTTTTATACAAAGCTACTCCAGAATGGTTAGAAAAACCACTTATAGTAAAATATCTGATACAAAGATTTAGATACCGTACTTTTGTTTCACTTCATGCCTGACTACTACAGAATAAGGAACACAACTGATATATATATATATATATATATATATATATATATATATATATATCAGACAAAAGGGGTGGCATTGGAAAAACAATACCTCAGTGATGTAAACATATGTGAATGAAGATGAACACAAATTGGAGAAAGGAAAAAAAACATTGTTAATTTTTCAATTATACAAAGTATTTGTATATTTTAAGTGACAAGCATGATGAATGACATTCTACTGTTCATGTAGCAACAGAAAGAAAGAATCTGCAGCTATGGGAGGTAAGCTAAAGGAGCTTACTTGTACTGTTAAGCTTAGCCAAAGGTACTGTGAGAATATAGGCCTACCAGGTAGATTACAGTCACTGAATGCATGAATTTTAAAACTTCCAGAAATAATTTACCTGTGCAGAGTCCAACCAGTCACCAAAAATGAATGATTTTAACTTCTACAAAAAGAATATTACCTGTGTATAGTGTGACCCCCTATTTATTGCGTAAAAAAACTGATCATGAAAACTCACTTTGTACTCGAGTTTATACTGTACTTTTTATTATCTTCTAATCCAATATAAATGTTGTCATGTATTCTGATTTATAAAAGTACCTCATAGAACTTAAAAGACTCAAATACAATATGGACTAAAGTTATCTGGTTGTCTTCAAATAAACACTTCTAACTACTTCTTTCCAACTGTTTCTGTTGTCCATAAATCTACCCAATTCTTCCTTTTTGATTCTGGTGCCGTCTCTGAGTTGACAGAAGAAGGTTGTTGCTGGTCTACATCTTGATATTTTCCCCATCTAGATTCAAAGAGTAGACAGGTCCTTTAGCTTAGGTGGTAGCCAATCCAGAAAGACAAATGTGAATTCAAAAACCATGACGAAGGCAACGGGGAACCATGCCACTATATTCCCAAAGAAGTCATGTCAATTCTCAGGCAATAAGGAAGTGGGATACTTAGTAATGCATGATCACATATGTCCCATGGCTTTAGAAAAATGAGGCCAATATATTAAATTACTTAACCATATCGTTTTCATTAAATTCATAAACACCAAATTAAGGGCCTTCTACTCCTGTTGGAGGACCCTCCCTGACTGATCATGTCATCAGGGGTGTAGCCGTACTCAACATGCTTGGTCCAATGAAGGTTAGTAAGGTTATTTAACCCATAGTTGGAGGTTTTGAATTCAAAGTTTTCCTTCTCCCGGACCAGTTGTCACCAAAGACTCAGTTTGTCCAGTTATTTACCCATAGCTGAAGGGGAGTAGAGATGGATTCATACCTTTCCCCAAGAGTATTTGCACATAAGTGTATCTAACAAATTCAACTAGAATTTAAACTCAGCTCTCTGATTCCTCATTTGGAGAGCTGCCATCCATTACTTCACTGTGTCTCCATAAAGACACACACCAGAATTTGATTCAGAAATCCAAAATGGAATATATTCTATACTTTAAGTTCTAAGATCTATCTGATCATCCTTGAACTTCTGATCACTTCCTTCCAAAGATTTCTGTCATACATAGTTCTACACAGTTCTTCCTTTCTGATTCTGATATCATCTTGGAGTTGATCGATGAAGGTTTTTACTGATCTGCCTCTTGATCTTTTCCTATAATCTAGATCCATGGTTTAAGCTGATGCCCAACTTCTAGTTCATTTGTCTGGCAACATCCATAAGTTGTACTCACCTTTCACAGATGCTGTCCATCATCTTTGGTCGGTTCCCATATAGTCCTTCACAGGATATTTTATGTAAGCTAACTACCATGAATTAAGAATGTATGGTTTAAGAGAGGTCATTATTATTATCATCACCAAGAAATAAAAAATTTATATTACTTATCTATGAGAGACTAAAAGTTATATGACATTATCATTCCTCATGAGCAAACAAAAATATTGTATTACTGACAGAATATATATTTATAAATGCTTACTAAATACCCTTTTTCTAAGTTTTCAAATTTAAAATTGTCTATAGTGATAGCTGTTAAACCCATGACAATATTATAATAACTAAAA